TGGAGGAGATGGGATTGCAGCATGGCCATCCCCCCTGGAGGGTGATTTCTCGCTTTTTGTCTCTCTGTCTCTCTCTGTCTCTCTGGTGAGTGCACATGCTCTATAGCAAAAACTTCTCCCCCCCCCAAAAAAAAGAGCTAACATGTTAGTCACATACTCCAATTTCAAAAAGATATAGTCTAGGGGTCGGCAGTTGGCTTGGTGGTTAAGGGTGCTGGATTCCCACAAGGTCGACTGCAGTTCGAGTCCCAGACCTGGCAGCTTGCTTTCTCACTCTCTCGCTTTCTCTCTCACTCTATCCCTCTCTGGTCAAATTGAAATAAATAAATGAACAAATAAATTAAAAAATAGAAAAAAGATATAGTCTAGTAAAATATAATTTTTGCTTTTCAGAAATTTCATCTGCATTAGAAAGTAAAGTAATAAGAGTAAGCATAAATATATAAGAAGCAATAGATACAAAATCAAAGATGGAACCATAGAAACATATATGTGAGCATGTGCATATGCACAACCATACTAATACAGGTAGCATTAAGTGTGTGTGTAATAAAACTTTGGCTAAAAGTGAAGAACTTCACCCAGGCTACCTTTTAAAAATAAGTAGTAAATACTAAGAAAACTTACTGGCTCATACATATAAAAAGTACAATGGTAAAAATCATTTGGGGGAGGAGAGGATAAGGTTAACATTATACTTTACAGAGGCTACCAAAGACCCAATTTCTTTCCATTTTTCCACTCTGCTTTCTATAGCCCACACCTTCAGACTCACTGGAAGTTTCATAGGGTTGACCAAAGTTCTCCGGACTACATACTTCTTCTGCAATCAGTAAGAAAGAGTTGTCTTAGCAGTGCCCCAAAAAGGCTTAAGATTCACTGTGATTGGTCATGGGCCTAGCCATGAGCCAATCCTTGTGACCAGGGGATGGTGTATTCCGATTGGCTTAATCCATTCTAGTACCATTCCTGGGTCAGGATCTCACTTCAACCACATGGCCAAGAATGCACAGAAGGGTAATTCTCCAAAAGTAATTCAGGATGCTGCTATCAGAGAGGGGAATGGGTTTTAAAGAAGAACTGAGAGAAAAAAGAGGAAGTATAGGAAGTAAAACAAGGAGAAAGGCAGCAGCCACAACTTCAGACATCTGCCCACTGCTGTAAAGATAAGCAACACACAAATGATAAGTCAGAGCCTGAGAGCCCAGGCATTCCAGAAGACTTTGTGAAGGCTGTAGAACCAATTTACTTGGTCTTGGGGACTTTGTAAAATGATTAAAGAAAACAGAACTGACTGAGACTTTCAAAATGAGTATTATGTAAACTATACATAATAACAAATAAAAGGTGGTGAGAGATCTACTAAAATTCTTGCTTTCCATCTTTGTTTGAGGAACGAGTGGGCAAATCTAGACAGAAAAGTTAGGGACAGAGAGCTATGACCTGGTTAAATTCATAAGTCTTGACTCTCATAATGTACATTCTCTAGTCAAATAAATTGCTACCCAAGGATAGCAATTCTAGGTCAACTTAATGCTTTCCTTCATAAAGTGTGCTATCTGACCTTACTGCAACATCGGGACTAAAAATGTACTTTACATTTGTTATACTAAAATGATAGAATTAAGCAGCAATTAACTGGAAATGCATTATCTTACTTAACTATTTGAACTCTAAATGCCTGAATTTCTTTAAAATAATGTTCATCCTAACAGTACTACTGAATATCTGGATAATAATTTTACCATCCTAATGTAGCATATTTCAGAGACACGTGAGGCTAATAGGAAGGAAAAGACTTCTAAGGTGACCTAGAATATTTATCTGAGACCCTGAGAGGTATATCAACTTCAGTGGCATAAATGCCTATTTATGTAAAAGTTGACCTCATTTGTAAATTTCAAAGGAAATTCTCAAGTCTCCAAATCTCAGCCATAGGCCAACTTTTTACAGAATGTACATACAAAGCCAGAGGGAGAAAGACAGAGCCACTACCCAGTCGTAACTGAGTCAATGCCAAGGCTTGTGCTTCAAGTACTGTGACCAATAGATTTGTCTCTCTCAGTGTGCTTAACTTTCCACCAACCATGGGGCTCACAGTCACTAACACTTTTCCCACGTTTGCTTATTGCAATCTTTTTGATCCTAATGCAAGACTAATTTGCCTGACCTTGGGGACTGTGTGAAATTCTTAAAGAGAACTGAACCAACAGAAACTTCCAAAATGAGTCTACTAACTTTGCACCTCAATGGTTATGAAAACCATAACTATGTGTATTTTTCTGATGTCACACCAGTATCTCATAGAATAGTCACTAATGTAGCTTTCCTGTGCCAATTAAGGCATTGGGGAAGAATGCTCTCACCTAGTAAACAGAGATTAGTTTCCCTTGATACTGTAAACACACGGATCATTTATCTGCTCCTTTAATGAACACCGGGAACTGTTAGTGCAAGTCACTCTATGAGACACTGAGGGATCATACACGTGAATCAGACTTACCTCTACTCAAAGAAATTTCATTGCACTCATTCTCACGTACACTCATGTAACTACAACAAACAATAGTAAGTGATAAGTAAGCACCATAAAAGAGATACAGCTCAAGATGAAGAGGCTCAGAGAAGACAGATATTCCAACCAAGGATGTAAAACAAGAAGCATATAACACGGGCTCTGAAGTCTCCATTAGATTTGGAACTATAGAAGAAAATAGAAATAGCAAAAGCAAAGAGGCTATAAAGCACAGCACACAGGAGAAGAAAAATGACACCAGTTATAACATCAGACACCAACTATGGGCCATGTAGTACATTTCAGTGCACGGTTTCAGTGAATCCTTATAACTTTAAGGGCTTGGTTCTATTGGCATGCCTATTTTCAGATGAGGAAACTAAGGCCCAGAAAAAGAGAAGCAGAAAATAACACATTATTCATGATTGCTAAAGCACGTCCTTGTTGCAGGGAGGAAGGAAAATAAACCTGAAAGGTTTTTTGTGGCTATATAATAAATAGGCTAGAAGATTAGAATCTTTGGGTGAATCAAACTTTGGAAGGATGCAAATAAACAAAGTAAAAAGTAAAAAGGAAGACCCTCTGTATCCTTAAAAGAAACAAAGCTATATTCCACATTACTTTAAATGGGCCCAAATTAGCACTCAAGTATTCTTATAATGTCAATAAATAAATAAATAAATAAGTCACTTCTGAAAGAGATGTGAGTGCCCTTTTTAATACAACTGACACTGACAGATAATCAACCCTGTTCAAGTGTTTCATTCCATTTCAGCTTTAAGTAAGGAATAAGTATGTATGTGAGCATGTAACTGCATAGTTCTCACCAATTATTTTCATAGTATTATTAGGAGCAAACAGCTAAAGATGATGCTAAAAACTAAAAACTACACTAAAATCCCCTGGCACTCATACATTCTCTCCACGGCTCAGAAAACAATTAAGGTGTGCTCTCTTCTGTGCTTTAAGCATAGTAATATGATTCTATTACTCCACTGCATTGTTTGTAACCAGATGTATGTGCAGCATTTAGCACAAACAGATCCCTGAAGTGGACATGCATTAATTTCCCCATAGAAGTCTTGTAAATAAGAGAGGCACCAGACCCTCAAAGAATGTCCTGTGTTCATAGAGATTAGTGAGGTGACTTGGATTTTTCTCTTGTTTGATCAACTGTTCAAGAATTAACTTCCACTAAGCCACATTCATATTAAAAATGTATGTTATCTAACACAAATATTTTCTACAAAACATGACATGCCTCTCAGATGTTTCTCTGCTGCCAGCATTATACTATGAGGAGTTGTGTTGACTGTACATATTTAGGTGACTTGGATTTTTCTCTTGTTTGATCAACTGTTCAAGAATTAACTTCCACTAAGCCACATTCATATTAAAAATGTATGTTATCTAACACAAATATTTTCTACAAAACATGACATGCCTCTCAGATGTTTCTCTGCTGCCAGCAGTAAGTTTATACTATGAGGAGTTGTGTTGACTCTACATATTTATATTTGGTTTATTATTCCAGCAAATCTGCAGAAACACTACCTATAGCTAAAACACACCTTCCCAAATGATGTCAATTTCATGTCTCTGTGAATTACAATCAATTAGCAATGTTTTTATTTCTGTCTTCAGTGGTACCATTGAGTTTGCTGTTATAATTCTAATAGTAAGAACTATCATTTATTAAATATTTAATTATGTTTTATATGTTTATCTGACCCCCATTTTTATAAAGTCAAAAGAATACTCGAGATGTCTCTCTCATTTATTGTGTGATCCTGATTGAGAGCCCCGGTCTCTTTCCTATAGCGTAGCATTTATTTAGGAAGATAATCGTAAACACATGTTTCTTGCAACCCATAGTATTTTATACCAGAATCTGATTATCAAAACGGTATTTCTCCCTGAGGAAAACAAATTAGAAGCTTACTTTTAAAACAGGAGAGAGTCATTTTACCTTGTTAACTACAGAGATTGTCAAAGGAAATGCAAAAGCAATGTTTATCTAGACAGATGTTCACAGACTGTAACCACACAGTGATAGTAGTTAAAGTGCCTCCGAACTTGAACTTTCTACAGCATATTCTCTCCCCAAATTCTAAATGATTGTTTCTTCCCGTCGTCTATATGTTATTCAGTTTAAATATCAGCCTGGTGAATAATTGGACATTTCAACCATCTAATTTTGAGTCTATTTAATCTGTAATTAATGGTTTTGGCAGCCCTTTCAATAATCGCCATTGGATTCAAGTTCGAATGGGTAGTTAATTGAAATTATTTCTGTTTGAAATGATCCAGCTTATAAGGGTTACCATTTAAAACATAACTTTTATTGTCACAGGGAATTGTTAATAAATGTCTGTGAAAATTGGAGCACCTATCTCAAACCATTTTTCTGAACGCACACACCTCGAGCTCATTGTGTATGATTCAACGGAGAAGTCAACTCAATAAGAAACCAAGATCTTGCTTTCCATTATGTCACCATAATTTTATTTGGTATTTACAGTTTTCAATTTCTAATGCAAGTGTCTTGCTGAGGATTTGGGGTATTGGGGAAGGTAGACGGGGTTTGAAGGAGAGGGATTATAGGTCTGGTATCGATAATAATAAGAAAGCTAACAGGATGTGAAAGTCTTCCAGAAGAAATTCTTGCAGCCAGCCTTGCGTTCCCGGGGTGCCATAGCCGGGTTCGAGTTCGCGGATCTCTGCAGTTCCAGCCTCATTTCATCCTGCTCAGTCGCCTGGGACAAATCCTCAGGTTCCAGGGCATCGTTCTCAGTCTGGTTGGGCTCGGACAGCAGCTCTGCCAGGAAGTATTTGGCCAGTTCCTGTACAGGGCAGACCAGACGGGGAAGAAAGAAAAAGAAGAGAACGACAGAGAAAGTGAAAAGAAGAAATGGGAAAGCCTCATGTGGAAAACAAAGGTAGTCACGCCCCAGACCCAGTTTTCATAGCTGTGCCCTTTTTGTCGCACTTAAACTCAATGAAGGCTGTAAGAATAAGGGCAGTTGATACAATCAGCAAGTTACATCAACCGGCTTCAGAAGCTCGCGTATTTGTCCGCTCTCTGCTTCTGTAAGCTTAAAACACAAACACACACACACAGGAGCAGATCATTCAAGCAGCTTTGCAGAGAGGAAGCATGTGGCACCGCGTCAGGAGCTGCAAAGTGGATCGTCTCGCCGCTTTACTAAGTAAACTGCAGGACAAGACCTCACCGTCGCAAACATACGTGCTCTGTCTGTAGCGAGCCCTTGCGCCTCGTCCCGCTGGACTGAAGAGGGTACTGCCTAGAAGGTGGCAGCCCCCGAGTTCCACGTTTCAGCACCTGGGTCAGCACCCCCACGGTCAGTACCGGTACCTTCCTACTCAGCTACCAAGGTCTTGGAATTTTCTTGAACGCCCAGGAAGAACTCACCTGAACTGTGACAGATTGAGCTGATCAAACGGAAAAAAAGGTAAGGGATCCTAGACTTTGAAAGTTTTCCTAAGAGCTTTGGGAGCTGAGGGACCCAGAGAAGCGTGGAAACTTTTCAGCAACACCGCTGAAGTCCAACCCAAGGGTGCAGGGGCGAGGCTAAGGGAGGGTTGGGGAATCCTGGAGAGGGACCAGGTGTCGAGGGAGTTTCCTTACCTGCTTCCCTGCGGCAGCAGCCAGGGACTTCTGCAGAAACTGACGGAGTCTGGGATCCGAGGGCGCCCCGCTGACACCGCCCAGGGCCAGGACGATGGACAGCGCAGCCAGCGCGCACTGCAGGCGGCAGGACAGCATCTCTGCGCCAGGGGAAGCCGAGCTGCAGAGCGGTGGGTTCAACAGCAGGCGCCGAACCGCAGGCAGCAGACGGGCGGCTCCAACCCAGCGACTCCTAAAGCGGCTAGCGCGCTCTCCACGGTCTCCCCCTTTTTAAACTCTCTCTCTGACGTCAGGCTAGGAGGCGCCCCCAGATCGCACCAGCGCTTTTACGCACCATTAGCATCGAGAAATCAAGCACAGATGTGAGGGGAGGCGACACAATCTAAAGTGGTTTCCTTAAAAAAAAAAAAAAATTTAAACTGCACACACACAGGCACACACGGTGTCACGCCACACTATTATATAATTAAATAATAGTTTATTCCATTCGGTGTTTCAAACATACACATCCTCTAATTTATACACGTACATTTATGCAGGTGTACATGTGCACACGCAACCTCACACAGAGGCTCAGACATGGAGCTCTTGAAGAGCAAACTTCCTCTCACGTACAGATGTATCCACACACGGACCCAGACGACTCCGTCTATCATATTCCAGCGTTTTGAGAGGGTCAAACACATGGGAAAGTCTCTGTGTGTGGCAGATGGAGATTCGGAATCGATCCTCTAAGAACAGATTTGCAAATGGAATATGGATGTCAGAAGGGCTGAGCCATCTCCCCTTCCTCTACTATCTCTGCAGAGTCTGTAGTCAGAGTTGGACTGGAGCACTCTAAACGAACCTCGCTTTTGCCTGTCACGGGGGAGAAGGTATCTTTGGCTAGTTCTCCTTCTTTCTCAGTAAGTGGGAGACTTCTGGCCTACCTGCCTTTCTACTGATAAAAAAAAAAAATACCGAGAGAGAGAGACTTCGTTTTGGTGCCTAAACACTAGGAACTGGAAGGCCATCTCAGAAATTACCCAATACACCTAAGAATGCTTAGAAATGGCAGTAAACTGCTCTGGCTCGAATGTTGAATAGTTAGAGCAAAGACCAGACCTCCACAGTCTAAGGACAGGGTTCTTCCCACTGAACTCTGAATTCTCTAACAGATTCCTTGCCAATCAGAGCAGTTTAGGTCTGGCATGCCCCAGACATATATACGTGAGCATCATTCTGTGTCTGTGTATGAGAAAAACAAAACAAAATGAAACAAAAACCTTAATCAAATCTGAGTCCCCTTCCTCCCTTAAAAAAAAAAAAAAAGTTTAGTGAAAGCTGTCCTAGAACAGTGGTTGTATGTTTGTTGTCCAGATTAGAGTTCTGGCAGCTTTTGTCAAAATACTTTCTTATCAAGGAAGGGCCAGCTCATTTCTTGGCATGGATGGGATGATTTCTGCAGGCTCTTTCCAGGCTGATAGTTTATGAGTGTCAACAAAACTAATATTAACTTAAAAGATAAGCTGCATCTCCAAAACCCAAGTGAAGCAGAGAACTTGGCCACCCCTTCACCAGTCAGAGAACATGAATCCAAATAGTCTTCTCACTGAGGCCCACACCACAGTGTTGAGAGGCAGAACAAGTTGAGAAGGATCTTGAATGGTTTGGATAATGGTCACTATTCCTTTTGTATCTATAAACCAAGACAAAGTGAGAATGCATAGCAGTGTAGAAGCTTCCAGGGTTTGGCAAATCTAAGTCAGTCTAAGCAGAAAGTGAGGATTAAAAAGCTCCCTTGAAAAAAAAAAAAAAAAAGCTCCCTTACATGTGTTTGAAGGGTCTGGGACATTAATGGCTGAAGCTGTGGACCCAATCCTAGGAAACACATTTATGTTCACTGTACACGTTGGACCCCTCCTGACCCCCCATGGAGGAGTCGGTGTGTAGCTATCGCAGCCTGGCTGTCCTGAGGCACTTGCAAGTGATCTTTCCTTCTTCCCCCAAGACATGGCCCTTGGCAACCCCACCTAGTAGAACAGAGGGTTTCCTAAAACAGGAAGCAACCGAAACCAAACAGAAGCTCCACAGCCTTGCTCTGTGCCCTGGGATCTTCTCCTTGCCTCCTGAGCCGTCTTCCTCTCCTTCCACGTCCCAGGTGCACTTTCTCCTCCCTCTTTCTTCTTTTCCATAACCTTTCTCTCAATTTCTCTCCTAGAATTGTCCTGATTCAGTCCTTTGTCTCTGCTCTCCACTCCCTGTGTTCATTCCTCTTCATCTTCCTTCCCTCTCCCAATCATTTTCTTTTTTAAAAATATATCTTTATAAAATTTTGTCATTATTATTTATGTTTTAACTTGACCAAACAGACAGAGAGAGAGAGAGAGAGATAAGGAAAGTGAGTAAGCAAGTCACCAAGTCCGGGACTCAAACCATGGTCAGCCACATATGAGTCGAGCACCTTAACCACCATGCCACCTGCTGGTCCTTTCCGGTGATTTTCTGACTTTGCTTTGCTTCCCTCTTTTCTTCTCTCCACTTCTTCCCTTCTAACTCTGCTTAGACCATGTCTACCCCAGTCTCCGCCACTAAACGTCTCTCACTCGCTTGTCTACCCCTCCTTTCTACCGCCCTCCTCCTCAGCTGCTTCTGACAACAGTGCTCACGGTCTCTCGTGGAAGCACCCACCTGGGAGCTACGAAGTCTGCGTTGTTTTCCTCATATTCTTGCCTAAGTGCCCAGGCTATGAATGAGATGGCTTCTGGATTTTGCTTTTATTTTATTGAATAATCCAAAGATTGTTATAAATCTAAAAACCACTTAAAAGAAAATAGGACCCAGGATGAAAGGACACAAATTTCCCCTTAAATATCCCATGGCCAATTTTAGCACAAACATTGGCTTCGCATAAAAGCAATTCAAGCTTCTCCAACCTGAGCCCTTTGCAGTCAACCCCCTTGGGAGGGCCTCTCTCCCAGTCCCAAGGGCTGGGAGGAGAAGGTGGTCTGTGGGTTATGGGGACCCTGCTCCCAGACCATGCTCACTAGGAATCCCCTCCCCCATCCTCACAAAACCCACCCTCAGCTTGTCCATCAGGACAGGCTTCCCAAGAGCGAAAATGCCCTGCAGGAGGCCAAACAAGCAAGAAGTGGCATGGCCGAAGGGAGGAGGCTTCTCTGCTATAGAATGCTTCATGCTCCCCTGACTCAGAGATGCTAGAGACACTTGATTCTGCCATCTGCAGCCAGGACAAAAGCACCTCCAGAAGGCATCCAGGCTTCGTCTGGTTCAGCTCTCCGGCCAGGAATCATGGCCACCTCCCCTGTGGACTGTGCATTTTGGGGTGGCCACCTGCTGATGTAAGCAGCAGAAACAATAAGTCTGTGAGCAGACATACCTTCAACATGACACGATTCAGGGAAGGGTAAAATGCCTGCACTGCAGGGCCAGAGACCTGGCTTCTCGTTCTGCCACAGACAGCTGTCAGACAGCTTCTCTGGACAGTGGTCTCCTCATCTGTGAAAGTGATGGCTTAGTAGGTGATTTCTGAGGTCTCTTTCAGTCCTGATTATGAACAAAAGTTAAGTTCAAGGAAATAAAATGGCAATCTTTAATATACTGTGATGTTAAAATGCTGTCCTTTCTCAAAAGGATGCTTTAGATCAGAAAAGAACCTGGTTTTAAGTAATATGGAGAAAAGGTTGGGTTCAGAAGATATCTCACAGGTCTGTTAGGAAGTTTATTCCTTTTATTTTTTTTAAAGATAAATTTTTGCTATGGGGAGCGTGAGCTTGCCAGAGAGACAGGAAGAGACAGAAAGTGAGAAATTATCCCCTGGGGGGATGGCCATGCCACAATCCTGTCTCCTCCATTCTCCTCTCGGGATCTCGGGCACCCACACATGTGCACCCAGTGTGGGTTTGAAGCCACCAGGTCCAGGACTTGAACCTCAATTGACTACATAGAGTCCAGCAACATAGCCATTACATTGTCTGTTGGTCCCAGGAAGCTTATTCTAGTCTTGATTCTGCTATCGACCTACTTCCTCATTCTGGGCCTCAGTTTCTCCTTCTATAAAATAGATTTCAAGTCTTTCTACAAATAAGATTGAGAAACTGCATTATTAGAGATGCTGGCAGTATGCCAGTGAACTGGATAGTCAAGTTCTAAGGAAAAAACAATGAACACATCAATTAATACATGTTCAAAAATATATATGTTCATAAAGGTTAGAGCAAGGTCCAGAGCATGACGGTGGGGGAAGACACCTAGGAGGACTCTGAGCAGAGACCTGACCGATGTAAGAAAGCCAGCCATGGGACGATCTGAACGCAGATATTTCCAACTCAGGTGGAAGGACGATCAGTGCCAAGGGCCCGAGGCAGCGCGCGCTTGTCACACCTGAACAGCGGCAGATGAGACAACCAGGCAGTGGGGGAAGCAGGGAGGCCTGGGAGATGAGGCCTATGAGACAGGCAGGGGGTCACAGAGAGGGTCTGTGGGAAACCTTGGGAGGATTTTGAACAACATATGGACCTGAATCCGCTCCCCCCCCCAAATAAATTAAATAAATAGAATGCTTTCCTCTCAGGGCCAGCGGATGGTGTGGCCGGTGACATCAGTGGACTCCGACATGGCCAACCATAGTTCGAGCCCCAGACTTGGTGGCTTGAAGCTCACACTGGGCACATATGTATGTGTGCCCAAGATCCCAGAAGAAAAATGGAGAAGGGATTGTGGTGTGGCTATCCCTCCTGAACAGTGATTTCTCACTTTTCTTCTCTCTGTCTCTCTGTCTCTGTCTCTCTTTCTCTCCCTGGTGAGTGCAAATACCTAAAAAAATAAAAAATACAAAATAAAATAAGTAGTGGGCCAGGAGATAGTATGGTGGTTAAGGTGTTGGATCCCCCA